TGTTACATGTATTCTAATTCCATAAGGTTGTGTTTTTACCTCTTTTCATTTTTGAGGGATTACAATATGATGTACTCCACTGGAAGTTATATTCATAGGATACATTATCAGGACAATGAATACAATATGGGGAATGTTGTAGAATCTGTATTGATGGGTGTCTGCATTATTCATAGACTGGTGTAAATCAGATTTGGAGTATATATTCTCCATTGGTCTCATCCTCATGTTCCCGGGTTCAGAGCTAAACTAATGAATCAACATGTTGTGTTTTCTGAGTATCAGCTCAAGCAGTTGCCATTACATAAAGACATGATAAGACTGATAATACTTCCTATCTTAATATGTTTTGCCCATTCGGTGTCATTGCACTTACAAGAAAAACAAAGCAGAAACATGGAAAATTGAATGCAGGTATTACAGCAATACAATAGTAAACACCAAAACCAATCTGTATGCATGGTTGAAATCATTAGCTTCTTTGAATGCTTTTCTATTGCTTTCCTCACCATGATGGGAATTTCTTACATGGCTTCATATTATAGCTAAGTGATCAAAAGGGAGGACCACCGTACAATAATACAGTTACTGAGTAACAATGTTGACCCCTTGCCATCATGTTCATGCGATAATTTATTTACAGCCAAAAATCTCTATCTTATTCTTGGTAACATTATGCTTTACTGCTGTGCCGATAACTGCCCTTTCAGAAACACCGGTTAGCAGTGTCAAACAAAAAATTGTATCATTATGCTCTATTGATTATGGCCCATCAGCCCACCTTACCCTAGTTTACATACAGGTCGCAGGAAAAAAAACTAGGGGCGTCTCACTCTCGGCCTCTTCCTCTCTCCGTCCCTTTGTTCGTTGTTCCGTTGCCTCCTCGATCTGGAATGACGCATCGAGCGCCGCCGCACTCGCTCGCCACGCGCTACGGCCACCCTTGCCCGCCGCGCTCACCCCTTGCTGCCGAGTTGCCAACGCTGCCCCGCGCGGCCGAGCCCCGACGCCCCGACTCCGCCGACACAACCGCCGACGCAGGAGGTGAGGCCCGACGTACGGCCGCCCGTCGCCCTGCGCGGCTGAGTCCCAGCCCCCGCTCGACGGCCGACGCCTGTGCCCAACCCCAACTCCTCAAGGCTTCATGCTCACGGCGCACTCATCCCGCCGACCAGCGTGTGTGCTCCTAGTCTCCCACGCCGGCGTCTGAATATCGGGTAGTTCGGGAATACAAGAACCTGAATTATCGGGTACCCAAAATAGCGGGTAGTGGTTTTTCGGGGCGAATATTGGCTACGCACGCAGATCCAAGAGGGAGAGACGGTGACGGTGTTTTGAGTTTTGACCGCCCTCATGCTCATCTTCGTCGTCAAGCGTAGGGCTCCCCAAAGTCTATCTTGCCACCGTTCCCAAGTACCTCTCCATCGTCCTCGTATTGAGGTTCGTGTCCCCTCCTCCTTGATCTGAATCTTGATTTGGTGTCAGACCTCAATCACATACTATATGCAACTCATGTGTTAATTGTTATAGACATCCCCAAGTGTGGGATCATTCAAATTTGTGGCTATCTGGAAGTAAATAAGACTGAAACAAAGAAAATATGGCAAAACCACAAGTTCTTATTATTATCTTTTCTTTTTGATAAACAAGTCCTTTTATTAATTTGACATCGAACAGAAATACGTACTGTCATGCACTAGGGGAACATGCATGGCAGCAAATGGACATCACAATACACAGCACAATATTACGTACACATACACATACTGTCACGCACAAACACGTACGCATACACACACTGACAGACACAAACACATACACATACACATACACATACTGATAGACACGAAACGAACACATGACACACGATACAAACAGAAACTGAGCTTATAAATTGCTTATTTTCCACGCGACGAAACACAAGCACGGAAAATGACAAGACAACACAGTGACAACACCATGGGTATGCTAGTTCACATGACACTGCACGAGGGCCCGCCGCCCTGCCTGTGGTGGTGGTGGTGGTGGCGGCCATGCTGCTGCTGCGCGTGCTGGCAGTCAACGTCTTCACCCTCGGTGGCGGCGGAGCAGCCAGGCTCGCACTGGTCGCCGGCTGCGGCGGCGGCGGCGGCGTCGACGTCGACGTCGGAGTCGGCGGCGGCGGCGCGGTGCAGCATCAGCACGTACGCCAGCTGCGTGACGGCCAGCGTCGCGGTGATCGCCTCCAGCGCGCGCATCTGCCACCCGCGCACCGCGGCTGCGGCGGCCCGCATCTCCTTGCACGCGAGGCCGAGCGCAAGCGCGGTGGCCGCCCACGCGACGGTGCCCAGCGCCGCGGCGGCCGCGAGGCCCTGCGGCCGCCACGACGCGCGCGCGTGGAACGCCGCCGCGGCCTTGGCTGCGCTGCCGAGCACGGCCGCCAGCAGCGCGAACTGGATGAAGTGGAGCGTCGCCTCGTCGCCGGCGCTGCGCGGCGCCGCTCCTGCAGGCATGCCCGTGCACATGCACGCGTCGTCTACACGCATTGAGTTGAGTATGTATATACATATAATATAATAAAAGAATCTCTGCAAGGGTCATCATTTGCACGGAAGGAGAGGGTGATGGATCGGATCGGTTGACGTACGGACCTGCAGGTGGGTAGTATTCCTGATCGCCTATGTCGTCGACGAAGCTGTTGAGCGCCCAGCTCGCGAACCCCGTCATGGACACGTAGAGGGCGAGGTTGAGCAGCAGCAGCGGGCCGGCTACGTTCCTCCTCCCCAACGACTCCAGCGACAGCAACGCCATTATTACCAGGTGATGCTCGATTATCGCCCCAGATCCGATCCCAATGCAGCCCCCTGCCCTCTAGCTAGCTATTCTCTCTCTCGATCTCTACCGTGCCTGCTACGACCAACAGCCGCCCACCGCGAAGAGCTCTCAAGCTAGCTGGACCCTTGTGTTAACTGCACGTGTGTTCGTCGACTGAGTCTGGAAGGCAAGCTGCTAGCTCCTCCGGTACTTAAAGGGCGCGCGGCCAGCCAGCCCGCACGGCAAGGTTTCGTGTGCGTGTGCGTGTGCGTGAAGCGCCGGGCGAGCGCCGTCCGTGCGTTCGGGCTGGCATGCAGGTGCACACGCACGCGGGCGCCGCTGCGCTGCCGTGCCGGCCGGCCTCCGTGCTCCATCGCTTCGCTGATAGCCCATGCGCTGCAGTAGCGTGACAAGAGGAGAGGGTGAAGCCGCCGCCACCGGCATGTCACGGTCACGCGCGAGTGGAGCTGGGCAGCTCTCAGCTGGTCGGCGCGGCGTCGTTGTGTGCGCGCGGGCCGCGGCATGCATGGTAGCTTGCAGAAATGAGTTGCTTTGGGATGACAAGTACACGTCCTCCTCTTTGTCTGATCGTGGTCATGGCGTCTCTGTTCGTGCGCCCACCGAGTCAGTTTCAGTAGCACGTCGTCTTCGTCATGCCGTGCGCCGCCAGCGACAAAAGGCCCGGCCGGCTCGATGGCGTGGGAGCTACCGAGCTAGCACAGCTTGCATTGCCTTGCCTTCTGGCTTTGTTTCGAGCGACTGGGGATGAGCACGCATGTTCTGTACGTCGACGACTTCTTGTGCTTTTGACATGGCCAGGCTCAACTCTATCCAACTCACGTAGGAAACAGAAACGCATGAGCCTTACCTCTTTCTGTGTGCAAAGGCTGTATAGAAGCAAACCCTCAAATATACATACATTATTTATATATATATATATATATAATATGTGATAAGCCCGAATAGTACTGGTTTGTTGTGAGATGAAAATACTGTTAACTAGCTAATAAACCCTAACTGAAACAGCGAACAGCATGCAAGTGTAGGAAAAGGCACATCTTGTCCCCCTGTCTTATCACATAGGGTTGTGACTCGTACGCCCATTGCCCTTGGGAAGCAACGAGTGCGTATGACTGCATGGCCATCCGGTCAGACACCTTCGCGGGACTCTGAATGGCCGTTTTTTTTTTTTTGGTGGGGTGGGGGGGGGGGTGTTTGTACGGCCCGTTCGGTTGTTCTAAAAGGAGCCTAGAAACCGTTCCGGCTGATGAAGCTTAATCAAATTAACTAAGCAATCCAGCTAGGAATTTATCCTGGAGGTAATTTCTAAGCAACTGTACATGCCCTTAGAGGAGCACGGTTTTTTGGTTGGAGCGTCTTCTGATCACTCGTATTGGGATCCAGTGACAAGCCGTTGCACAATAGTTAAAGTCAATAAGGGGGTTAATCTTCTTGAGTCGCATTTGATCACTCCTGATGGATACCTGTGGTAATGTACTCGTCAATAACTCCCTAAATTTACATCTTAATTATATTCACCTCTGAATTACGAAAGATAATGCAAAATTAGCCCCCTAAAATGCGATGGTCAGACAGATAAAAGAAGATGGGTAGATGCGAGGTACGTATTTGAATTGAGTATGTCTACTGCATAACCATGTGTTTTATGCAGTTTTAACACAAGTTTTTTTTGAACCGTAGGATGAAGATCCAACGGCCTCTAGCCTTCTTCCACCTCCAGCCTCCAGCCTTCTTCTACCTCTAGACGCACTGCACAAACTCGCCCCTACCGCCGTCGGCCGCTCCACCCTTGGCCGCGGCTATGTCGGCACAAATCACAAGCAACAACAAATCACAAATCTCATATCACAACAAACAATTTTTTTTCTATGAAAGGGCAATGACAAATCGTGGCTGTGTCGGCACAAATCATAAGCAACAAATCGCGGCGGCGCGGGCACGACGCGGCGAGGCCGCAGCGGCGGCGCTGACACGGGAGCGGCGGCGTCGCAGGCACGGCGCGGTGAGGCCGCAGCGGTGCGGGCACGGGCAGGCACGGGCACGGCGCAGCGAGGCCACAGTGGTGGCGCGGGCACAGATTGGACGAAGGTGTGCTGGAGCTAGGAAAGATCAGACGGCTTTAAAATCGTGTGTTGGATTGCTCTAAAACACATAGGATTTGAATTTATCATGACGACGCATCTCGATCAGGAGGAGGCCGGCAGCGGCGGGAACGGTACCTCCACGAGCCCTTCCAGCATCAGGACGACGCTCCTCATTGCGGGCCTCGCCTGGGGCTCCGCCTGCGCGCACCACACCGCAACCTTCACCGCCCGCTCCACCTCCACGGCCTCCGCCGCCTCGTCTTCGCAGCCCACGGCCCGCCACACCTCGCCGCGCAACAGCCACTCGTGTGCGCACTCCATGAGCGTCCGCTCCTCGCCGGCCTCTTCCAGCTCCATGCTCCGGCGGCACGTCACGATCTCCAGCAGCACCACGCCGTAGCTGTAAACGTCCGCCTTCACCGTCAGCGGCCCAACGCCGCGGTACCACTCCGGGGCCATGTACCCGCGCGTGCCGCGCACCCCCGTGAACGTCCGCGTCTGGTCCGGGAGCAGCAGCTTCGCCAGCCCGAAGTCGGCGATCTTCGCCGTGCCCGACGCGTCCATCAGGATGTTCTGCGGCTTCACGTCGCAGTGGATCACGCGGCTGTCCAGCTTGTCGTGGAGGTAGTGCAGCCCGCGCGCGACGTCCAGCGCGATGCCCATCCGCTCGCCCCACGCCGGCGGTCCGCCTCCGCCGGCGCTGTTCTTGAACAGACGCTCCGCCAGGGACCCGTTGCTCATGTACTCGTACACCAGCAGCCGGTTGGCGCCCTCGTGGCAGAAGCCCAGCAGCCGGACCAGGTTCCTGTGGCTCGTCCGCCCGATGGCGCGCACCTCCCGCTGGAACTCCACTTCCCCCTCCTCCACCACCTTCTCCAGCCGCTTCACGGCGATCGCCTTCTCGCCGCCGTTGTGCAACAGCGTGCCCCGGAACACCGTGCCGAACGCGCCGCGGCCCAGCGGTTCGCGGAAGTCGCACGTCGCGTGTTCCAGCTCCTGGTAGCTGTACGACCTCAAGGGCGCCTTCTCGTCCAGGGCCTCCGCCGCGTCCGGCTCCGCGAACGTCCTCCGGTTCGCCCAGAACAGCCGCGCCGCCACCAGGAGGGCGGCTAAGGACACGCACGCGAGGATCCCGGTGCAGATGAGCGCGATGGTGGCCGCGCGCCCGACACGGCTGCGGCAGCTCTTGTCGCCAGGCGCGGGGGCGGGACTCGCCGCCGTCCCCTCTGCGTTCTTGACGAACAGCGTGTACCTGCCGCCCGCGCGGCCGTAGAGGAGCGGGAGCTGCTGCTTGGTGCACTTGGAGGCGTTGGTGTCCAGCAGCACGGCGGCGCAGAGGCAGTCGTTCATGCACGCGGCCTGGCAGTCGGGCTCGCTCGTGACGTTGCCAATCACAGCGTATGACTTGTCCACCCACCACATGTTCTGCATCGTCGCCATGGACAGACCAGCTGCGGCGGCCGCGCAGTCCCCGGCGCCTGACCTCCGGGTGCAGCCAAGCGCCGCGTTGCTGCCGTCGATAAAGTCGAAGCCCGGCGGGCACAGGCAGGTGGGCTGCGCGTCGCGGTCGAGGACGCAGTAGCTGTTGAGCCCGCACACGCCTTTGACTTCGCACCGGTCCTCCGGCCGTGTATACTGGACGTCGGTCTTCCACACGCCGCCGGACGAGACGGCGTGGCGGTACAGCCGCAGGACTCCGTCGGGATCGAGCGTGACCCGGTAGAAGACTTGCTCCTCGCCGGCCGATTGCGCAGCCACGGGATGCGACACGTTTCTGGTGAAGTTGCCGTTGTTGCCCGCGGTGAGGTAGAGCAAGCCGGTGGCGTCGAGGCGCAGCGTGAGCTGGAGGCCGACGAACGTGCCGGTGTTCCAGTACGAGTCGGCCGCGACGTTGTCCGTCTGCACGGGGTACAAGACGAGGTTGCCGTCGTTGAGCTGGTTGGCGAGGCGGTACTTCCCGGCGGCTCTGTTGGTGGGCGAGACGCTGGAGAAGAGCTGCGCGCCAGGCACGAGGTCCTGACCGGTGAGCAAGGTGTCAGTGGGCGTCGCGAACGTGGACCACACCACGGTCCCGTCGGCGCCGTAGAGCACGAAGCTGCCGTCGTCGCGCATGGCCGCTCGGACGACCGTTTGGGGCGCCACGGCGAGGCTCCTGTACAGGCCGTCGGCGCCGGTCCAGAGCAAGCCGCTGTTGGTGATTCGGAGCTCGCCGCCCGTGGCTGGAGTGCTGTTGCCGGCGGCCGTCCACACGACCGTCACGTTGGGCGTGGTGGCGAGCCAGACGCCGACGGTGAGGCCGCCGCCCGTGGCGTAGAAACCGAAGGCGAAGCGGCCGGATGGGGAAGACCAGGCGGCACCGGCAGCGGCCGGCAGGGAGGTTCCTGAGGTGATGTTGTTGGTCTGCGCACCGGCGGCGGCCGGCATGGAGGTTCCTAAGGTGATGTTGTTGGTCTGCGCACCGGCCATGGGCAGGGAAGCAACCGTGGCGAGCGCGACCAACAGCAGACGGATGGGTATAGGTATAGCCATGGCTGCCGGAGTAACCATTTGTGCGCGCTCCTAAGCTCTATATATGTATGTATGGTGCCATGGTGGGTCAGCAGCAGTGATGAATGCACTTGCTCTGTTCCTCATCTGGCAGCTTGACTAGTTCTCCTTCGGTTGAAAAATGTGGGAGTTGCTATATTTTGGGCGCCTTAATTTAAAAAAAAAATTCAGGCAACAATCTTTCACAATCAGAAATTGTTTGACTCAGGACAAATTTTGGGAGTTGCTATATTCATGCTCTTTTCTATAGGTTTGGTTGAACTTAAGATTGTTTGAATCAAGACAAATTTGCAAATTGTTTTTTTTATTTTAAGGTGGTGGGTGTATAAAACATCATAGATCCATTTACGAACTATATTATTTTCATACATACATAGCTTACCTCTATTTATGATGCCGTAGATGTTGATCGTCTTTTGTATAAGCCTTCTTTTCTTTGACAAACTATTATTTTATATAAGCCTGATTATTAAACATAAGATAGCTAGTGCATTTGACATTTGGTCACCTCTCAATTGACTCCATTGCATGGTTTATTTCATAGTACCGCTACATTACGTTTTTGTGTGTTGAAGGAGTATTTAGTCAAATTCATTGACCCGCGACCGCGTTGTGCTGTGCAGCTAGGATGCACGGAAAATCCATGTCCATGATGGCTGGCGATAGGAAAGACCGGATTCTGTGTTAGCGACGCGAATGTCATTATTATCTAACTAACGTGGGCCGGCAATGGCGTTTCGTAGCGGCAGCAGACTAGCAGCTAGAAGGAATTCAGCACACACGGTAGTAGGTACGGTGAACACGGAACGATCGTTAGTAATGGAAAATGGAAAAAAATGAGAGGAAGTCTACATAGAGTTTCTCCCTCTCCCAGCACTCAGATTTTTTGGACCGTTGTTCTCCTCATTCAACGGCTCACGCTCTTCTTTTCTCCTCTCGACGCCTACTGTTCTTCTTGTTCGTCGCCGGAGGAGGAGTGTAACACCTCTGGTGTTACGAGCTCGCTAAGCACCGATTTGGGCCTAAGAAAAATTACCGAAACAAGTTTCTCGGTTTTTAAGATTTAAACTCTCACGAAATGATAAACAACTCTTATGTGATTTACCTTCTAGTTGAGAGGAATCAAATAAAAACATAAGTAATTCATTTAGTGCGTAAAATTGTTAGTGGAAATCCTAATAAGAAAAATATGATACGTAGCTTTAATTGTTGGGCATGGAAAACTATTTTTATAAACAAAAATCAAATATCACTTGTATGTAGCGTTTAAATAAAGTTTAGAGTGCAAGTGAAGTAGGTGGAAATGTAACATTCACTTTGGGAGAATAAATACTATTAGTTAGTATTTTGGGAGTTCAGAAATCTAACTTGGAATTAAGGAGGGTCATTTTCGTTGTTAACTAATACTTGTGTTTATGTTAAAAGTATCATTCTTTGGCGAATTATATTGAACAAATGGGTTAAATAATTCTTAAATGTTTTATTTCTATGAGTTAACATGAAGTATGAGTTAGGTCATGACATGTTGTCTAGTTGAAATTGACGAGGCTTAGACCGTTTAAAAATTCAACCAAAAGTGTTGGGCAAGGATAGTTCTAATCGAACATCGAATTCGTTAAGTCCGAAATGATAATAGACAATGCTATGTTGTCATTTAAATTTTAACCAAAATGCTTAAGCGATGGCTTCATATTTTGACATCGTTGGTCACACCAAGGTGAGTGCAAGGGCTTGGTATAAGTAGTTGTGGTGTTGGGTGGTGCGTTGGTCGCGCAAAAAATTCTCCGAACTACGTTGGAACATGCAGCGAACTATGGTTCGGTGCCCGGTTCACGAACCGCCGTTACGCGTGATGAACTCATGTTGGCACCTCCCTATCTCACTCTCTAGTCGCTCTCTGGACGTGAGGTTTGTCTCGCCAGCTAAGTGTTAGTACTGACTTTAGGTTAGTGGAACCGGTTGAACCCGAGTTGAGTTGATCAGCATATTTTGTATCGCTTTAAAAACCATGCACGTCACCGCACGTTGTGGTGCAGCCCGTGTCTACGGTCACCGCGCGCACTGTCGTTCCGACCCTTTCTTGGCCGTGGTCATGCCGTGGTTGGCCTTGCGGGCTGCCGGACACGCGTCGGGATGGGGTGGCCTCGGCCGCCACCGCGGGCCGACTGCGCTGCCAGGCTGCTGCGACGTGGCCGTCGCGTGCGTGCTGCTGGCCAAGCCGTTCACGGGCCAAGTTGTGTCCGCTCAGCCGCTGGACCGACGTGGCACCCGTCTCACCGCTCGAACCACCTACCAAGCCAAGCTCGATGCCATCGTGTAGCCTGCTGCATCACGACATCGCGCTGCTGTGTGCGCGTGGCCGCACGCGGGCACGCCTTAATGGCTCTGTCTAGGCACCGGCAGCCGCGCCGCTTCCCGAATTATAATGCGCGGACTGTGGCATCCCAGCTCAATTCAGCGCCATTGTAGCAAGGACTCATAACCAGCTAGTCGTTCCGACCGTGCCAGTTACCTTAGATGCCCTCCATCGCATAAATTCGAGGTTCTGCTCGCCGCGGGCCATGTCACCGCCGTGACCAGGAATGGGGAAGAAAGGTAGGATTGCAGTGGTAATAGTTCAATTGCTCATGGCTCTGAGCTCATCTCGACTCCTTACAGTTGATGCTCGCGCCGTTTGGGCCAGGGTGCTCACCACTGATGCGGTGACACGACGGTGACGCGCCTGGAGCGCCACCGACCTCACTGCGCGCACGTGGCCAGCCTGCCCCAGCGCTCCCCTGCTTCAACCGTCGTTGGAGCGTGCAACTAGGTGAACTACTGATGCTCCACCGCCACCTCTACCCTTCCGAGAGCGCATAGGTTCGTCGGAACAGGCACGCCGCCGCCAAGGTTAGCCGCTCGCCGCTGTCGCTCCCGGCAGTATGCCGCTAAGTCCCTAACCGCCACTCATGCTTGCGGATTTGGCCGTAGATGGTGGTCGGCCCGTTATTCCTGTCGCAGCGGGTCTAGCTTGCCGGTGTTGTCACCGTTGCCGTCGGTGTGCCGCGCTGCTGCGCGCGGGTACGCCGAGGACTGCCTCGATGTAAACACAGCACATTCCAGGGTCTTTAATGCAAAGCCTGAGTCTGTAGTAATAGTGCTCCGTTGCTCCGTTTGATTAACCGAAAGCCTGAGTCCTCTTTTGCAAAAGAGTTGCGTGCACGCGAGTTCCCCCGCCTTGGGCCGTTGCTGGGCCGGCTACTGCGCACGCTCGCGTCGCCGCGCTGGGCCGCCGGGCTGGAAAGGTTGCCACCGGTCCTTTTCTTTTTCTAAAGCGTTTTCCAAATTAGTTTCCAGGGTAAATTTGTAAATTCAAGATAAATTTGTGTAGATGTCCAAAAATTGTGAAACTAATTTTATTAGACTCCTAAAATCATGATCTATCTGCTAGTATATTTTGTTGACATGGTTTTATAATATTCTTAGAAGCTATATAATTAATTTGAGATACTTAATATTATCAAAATATAAACTTGTAGGAATTGTTGTGGTAAATTGGTGATAGTGTTGGCTCTGAAATTTTTACAGTAAATTTTTAGCAATATTAAGTGCTCACTATAATTTTTGTAGCTCCATAGGAATTAGTTTGTTAAGGTAACTGAATGAGCCCTAGTGCGAATATATATATTTAATCAATCAAATGTCAAAAATAATCGGGGGTTGGTAGAACGAAAACATTTTTCGGGAATGAGTCTTACTTGACAACGTGGATACGTAGACTAGCACGTTAAAGTTATCTCGTTAGCTTGTGAGGCGTAATCGAATTTCTAAGAGTTTCGGTTGTCGTTGATTATTTACATCTATGCGTTGCATCCACGTATATCATAATAGGAACAACAATGGATCGTGGAGATGACCGAAGTAGCGGAAAAGATTGTGCCTTGATGATCGTGTCGCCTTGACGGAAAGCTAACTTGGTTATATTTTTCCCAGGCAAGCCCCCGTGCATAACCCCTATTATTCTGCACTTTATTTTATGGTTGTGCATTAAGTTTAAGGATTTGAATGAAACCCACTTGCATATATATATATCATTATCCTATGAGTCTTACTAGTATGACAGGATCGCGTAGATTGCTATGCTATAGGACTCCAGTAGAAGTCGAGTGATTACCTATCACTCGCGAGAGATAGGAAAGAGATTATTGCTGTTATTATATTACTATGACATGAAATATATATGAATGATAATTAGAGACTGGGCGGAATGGTACTTTGGATCTGGGCTTGGTTTGGCATTCGGGCGAGACTCGAATTGCACTTGTTCCGTCTGTGTCGGTTAAGGACCGTCCGTTGCAATGGATTCTAGTCAGGTCACATATTTATTATCCTGAACACATACTTGTTTATGGGAGCAAGGAAGGCTCGTTGTTCTCTTGTCGTGGGTTCCGGCTCTTTCCGAACCAACTGATTGGAGACGGGGATGGTGGAGGTCTAAGCACCACACTGAGTCCGGGACTTAAGTGTGGGGGCTTGGAGTCCAAGTTTGGACGGGGACCTAGAACCCTTGACAGAAGAGTGGTGGGTTGGTCCTGCTTGTGCCTAGGGTATAAGCGGGGCGAGTGTTTTTGGGATACCCAACTGGGCACATTGATTCGCGAATCGCCGAGTAATCTGGTATGACTTGTCTACAGTCGAGCACCGTAGTAAGAACTAGAATATGAAAGATGTAAAACTGGTTCTTATTGCTTACCACCTGCTTGAAAGTAATACAGGTGCTTACATAGAATGGTTAGTTAATGAACTAATGATAATTGCTAATAAAATTGAATATAAGGACGTATGTTTAGTAATGCTCCTGCAGATGCAATAAACACACAAGCCAGATAGCCTTGCATACCCTTAGAGTCTTTTCTTTTCTCCTGACGGGTAAGTCTTGCTGAGTACAATTGAGTACTCAGGGTTTTATTTCCCCCTGTTGCAGGTAACAGGCGGATGCTAGA